CTCTCTCTCTCAGGTTAGAGGGCATGTAATATTTAGTGGGTGTGTCCGGCCATCCAGAGAGCTAATGCACACACACAAATGCAGACACACACACATATTTGGCATGGGCCCTCCGATTCTCAAAAAGTTCTACAGCTGTACCATTGAGAGTATCTTGACTGGCTGCATCACCACTTGGTATGGCAACTGCTTGGCATGCGACCGTAAGGCGCTAAAATGGGTAATGCGTACGGCCCAGTATATCACTGGGGCCGAACTCCCTGCCATCCAGGACCTCTATACCAGGAGGTGTCAGAGGAAGGCCCTAAAATTTGTCAGAGACTACAGCCACCCAAGTCATAGACTGTTCTCTCTACTACCGCACGGTAAGCGGTACCAGAGTGCCAAATCTGGGTCCAAACTCAATGGACTCTACCCACACATACTACACTGACATTACAACACACACACACACACATACACACACACACGCACGCACACATGTACACACACACACAAACACACACACACACAAACACACACACACTACATTCAGTCACACACACAAAAAGTACACCCATTAATATTAACACCCCACACACACACACACACAGACACTTTCACACTCTTTACATACGCTGCTGCTACTCTGTTTATTATCTACAGTATCCTGATTGCCTAGTCACTTTACTTCTACCTACATGTGCATATTAACTCAATTACCTCAACTACCTCATACGCTTCCACATAGACTCGGTACCGGTACTCCTTGTATATAGCCGTGTAACTGTTATTTATTTTATTACCATTTCCTTTTTTTATTTAGCAAATTGTTCGTACTTTTTAACTCTGCATTGTTGGGGAAGTGCTCGTAAGTATGCCTTTCACAGTCTACACATGTTGTATTCGGCGCATGTGACAAATAAAATGTGATTTGATTGATTTCACATACCTCTCTCTCTCTCGCTAACACTTCATCATATCACCCACACAGCGCTGTGGGGTCAGAGTGGACATATTTTGTACTTAGATCAGTCAAGGAGAAAATACATCTCCTTAATGCAACATCTCCTCTCTCTCTGTGCTTTGAGCTTGTTGTAGCCAACTACAGCCGTCCATGTTGGTAATTCTATGGTCTGGAGCGTTTAGATTTCTTGGTTCCCTCCATTGCTTTGGTCATGATGAGTACATGTGAGAGTGTACATTATATACTGTAGTAGTACATGTGACAGCTTACGTACATATGTAGTAGTACACGTGAAAGTATAGGCTATTTAATTGTTAGAGCGTATGTAACAGTACATGTGACAACATATTTAATATTACTTGTCAGATTGTGCGTAGTAGCATGAGAGCACATGTAATGGTGAATGTATTGTTGTATCAATCAGGCCTGAGAGCAACCAGGTTTACTAATAGAGTGTGTAGCATTACAACCCCAGGGAGAGTACTACTACTGACACATAACACTGAAATACCACTACAAGCTGCATGAAGCTGGGAGCAATGAAGTGTGTGTGTGTCTGTGCGCACGTGCATCTGTGTGTGTGTGTGTGTGTGCATGTGTGTATGTATGCATGCATGTGTCACAGACCTTTGTTGACAGCTTGAACAGGCTGGCTGGAGAAGTAGGCGTCCTAATGAAGGACAATACGTGTTGAGGAGGAGTGCCCTTCTGCACAGTAATCTGTTGTTCAATAGGGACTGAGTGCACTTGAAACGCACAGTCCCTTCTCCCACTCCCCTTATGGTAATAGCCATGTGATGGAGAAGCTTAACACACTGTCCAAGGGTACACACTATAGACAAGTGAGACAACCTCTATACCCTAGTGTCTGTATAAACATACACTTCATTGTTGATGTTGATATAATCTTATGGTCATATGATGTAATTGACATCTGTGTCTAGACAAAGGTTGCACAAATAGATGCCATGCACTTATCATGTGTAGAGGGTTCAGCTTCTGTAGTGTAAAAAGCGAAGAGTTTCAATGACATCACATGTTGAGAAACTCTCAATAGTAGTTGCACAGGAAATTGGCCAGTGTTACCTAGTGTTGATTTTTCAGTGTAACAGTTCTAGTCTTTAAGTGTTAAATTAACACTCATGTCACGATCGTTTACAGACGGGACGGACCAAGGCGCAGCGTGATATGCGTACATGTTTATTAAATATTAAACACAACGACAAAATAACAAACAAAACGAAACGTGAAGTCCAAGGCAGCACAGCACAACATACCATACCATACCATACCATACCATACCATACCATACCATACCATACCATACCATACCATACCATACCATACCATACCATACCATACCATACCATAACACGGAACAAGATCCCACAACCCACTAGTGCCAATAGGCTGCCTAAGTATGGTCCCCAATCAGAGACAACGAGCGACAGCTGCCTCTGATTGGGAACCACACAGGCCAACATTGATCTGTACATACTAGACTGTACAACATGGACAAACACAGCAAGGAAAATACACACCCTGACTCAACATACAAGCGTCCTCTGAGTCAGGGCGTGACAACTCATTTTTTTAAATTTTTTTTAATTATTTTTTATTTCACCTTTATTTAACCAGGTAAGCCAGTTGAGAACAGGTTCTCATTTACAACTGCGACCTGGCCAAGATAAAGCAAAGTAGTGCAATAAAAACAACACAGAGTTACATATGGGGTAAAAAAAAAAACATAAAGTCAGAAATACAACAGAAAATATATATACAGTGTGTGCAAATGTAGCAAGTTATGGAGGTAAGGCACTAAATAGGCTATAGTGCAGAATAATTACAATAGTATTAACACTGGAATGCTAGATGTGCAAGAGATTATGTGCAAATAGAGATACTGGGGTGCAAAAGAGCAAAATAAATAACAATATAGGGATGAGGTAGTTGGGTGGGCTAATTTCAGATGGGCTGTGTACAGGTGCAGTGATCGGTAAGGTGCTCTGACAACTGATGCTTAAAGTTATTGAGGGAGATAAGAGTCTCCAGCTTCAGAGATTTTTGCAATTCGTTCCAGTCATTGGCAGCAGAGAACTGGAAGGAATGGCGGCCAAAGGAGGTGTTGGCTTTGGGAATGACCAGAGAGATATACCTGCTGGAGCGCAGACTACGGGTGGGTGCTGCTATGGTGACCAATGAGCTAAGATAAGGCGGGGATTTGCCTAGCAGTGATTTATAGATGGCCTGGAGCCAGTGGGTTTGACGACGAACATGTAGTAAGGACCAGCCAACAAGAGCGTACAGGTCACAGTGGTGGGTAGTGTATGGGGCTTTGGAGACAAAACGGATGGCACTGTGATAGACTACATCCAATTTGCTGAGTAGAGTGTTGGAGGCTATTTTGTAAATGACATCGCCGAAGTCAAGGATCGGTAGGATAGTCAGTTTTACGAGGGCATGTTTGGCAGCATGAGTGAAGGAGGCTTTGTTGCGAAATAGGAAGCCGATTCTAGATTTAACTTTGACTTGGAGATTCTTTATGTGAGTCTGGAAGTTGAGTTTACAGTCTAACCAGACACCTAGATATTTGTAGTTGTCCACATACTCTAGGTCAGACCCGTCGAGAGTGGTGATTCTAGTCGGGTGGGCGGGTGCTAGCAGCGTTCGATTGAAAAGCATGCATTTAGTTTTACTAGTGTTTAAGAGCAGTTGAAGGCTACTGAAGGATTGTTGTATGGCATTGAAGCTCGTTTGGAGGTTTGTTAACACAGTGTCCAATGAAGGGCCAGATGTATACAAAATGGTGTCGTCTGCGTAGAGGTGGATCTGAGAGTCACCAGCAGCAAGAGCGACATCATTGATATACACGGAGAAAAGTGTCGGCCCAAGAATTGAACCCTGTGGCACCCCCATAGAGACTGCCATAGGTCCAGACAACAGGCCCTCCGATTTGACACACTGAACTCTATCTGAGAAGTAGTTGGTGAACCAGGCGAGGCAGTCATTTGAGAAACCAAGGCTATTTAGTCTGCCAATAAGAATGCGGTGGTTGACAGAGTCGAAAGCCTTGGCCAGGTCGATGAAGACGGCTGCACAGTACTGTCTATTATCAATCGTGGTTATAATATCGTTTAGGACCTTGAGCGTGGCTGAAGTGCACCCGTGACCAGCTCGGAAACCGGATTGCATAGCGGAGAAGGTACGGTGGTATTCGAAATGGTCGATGATCTGTTTGTTAACTTGGCTTTCGAATACTTTCGAAAGGCAGGGCATTAGTGTAGAAGAACCCCATTGGTGTAAAAAACCCACGTCTCTCATTATCATATTTCCCTGCATGCTGAATTGCAGGTTGATAGTTTGTTTCAATATCTTTTTGCATGTACATTGATTAATGAATTAACCTTATGCTACTCATATATATATAATACATTTTTCTATACTAATCCAATCAGTTACTTGGACTTATTGCACCCATTACTGAAAGGATTGTTCTAGTTTAGATGGTTTAGGTAGTGTCATAGCTTAGCCTTCCCAACCTGTTGGTCATTCTTAATGCAGGTTGCTGGTAAATAAAACTTCTAAATTTTGGATATCCCCACTCTGGCTGGATTCCAATGGGAATTGCACATCACTTTGCAAGCCAGCATAATGTGACTTACAAGCCTGATGTGGCTGTAAACCATGCATTTCATGCTATTGTATTATGGTAAAACTAGGCCTTCAAAATAAGGCCTTATAAAATATGTGTTTTATTGTCTTCTAAAACTGAAAATGGATGAATGACCCCAGTCAGTCTAGCAGCAGAGTAATAACACAGGGGTTTGATGATTATGGGTGGAGGTAATGACATAAAGCCTAGTCTACTTGACTTCTCTAAAGACAACTTCATACCATAGGAAGGAGAGCAGTGGTGGCTAGCAGAGTGGAGCTAATCACCCTCTTCTCTGTGACTTTGGTAGAGGCTGCAAATATACACACAGATCACAGCGGGTCAGCCCCACTAAAACACATTTTCCATTTCCTCATATCATACCTGCACAGCAAGGGAGAGATGGAGGGATGGAGGGGAGATAGAGAGGAGGGAGGGAGTGAGAGGGAGGGAGGGAGACAGAAAAAGAGAGGGAGAGAGGGAGAGCGGGAGAGTATGTGTGTGTGTGTGTGTGTGTGTGTGTGTGTGTGTGTGTGTGTGTGTGTGTGTTTGCGTGCGTGCGTGTGTAGCTGTACAGCTAACATCTGCTGGGTGGATCCCCCCTGCTTTCAGCAGAGTGTAATGGAATCTGCTGTCTCCAGACTTGCTGCTGCTGCTTTTATAATGGAAGGCTTAGTGCTCTGAGGAATGCCTCTCTTTCTTAGCTCTTTTTTTTCTTTCTTGGTCTCAGTTTTTTTTCTCTTTCTCCCTCTTTTACTGTCTTTCTACCTCTGTCTTTTTCATTCTCCCCATCTTTCCCCCTTTCCCTCCTCCCCTCTCTTTCTCTCCTCCCTTCCCCTCTCTTTCTCTCTTTTTCTGACAACAATTCTCATCGGAGGAGATCTCTCTCTGTATGTGCACACCGTCCTGTCAGTGCTCTGCTCTCTCTGCCCACGTTCACCCAGGGCTCCTTCTGCTGTTATCTACAGCTTTAGCTGGTCTATATCCTATTAAAGTAGATAACACAGACTGTTGTGAAGATAAACTCAGTTCAAATATTAGGAGTTGAGTGTCCATGTCGTTGGATGAGCATTTGATGAGTCACTGAAGAGGGAATTGGGGCAAATCCCAAATGGCAGCCTATTCTCCACATATAGTGCACCAAAAGTATTGCTCTAAATCAAAATGTCCCTTAGTCATGTGTCGATATCGGTGGGAGACAGTGACATTTTGAATTAAGTGGTCGTTTTTTGGTAGGATTCTTCCCTTCCTTAGTCTGTATGAGTAGCACCTACTGCATAAATGCCCTATAGTGTGTTCTCTAGCCCTATTCTCCCTGTAGGCAGCTGCTGTTGTGTTGGTACGATATGTACTCTCCAGAGCTGATGTGAGAGGAGAGTGATGTCACAGGGACAGAGAGCTTAGTTAACAGGGTGACCTGCTATATGAGTCACACCTAGCTGGCATGAGCTGCTCACACATAGATTCTACACTCACAACAGCATTCTTCCATGAGAAATTCCATCATTTGGTGTTTTGTTGATGGTGGTAGAAAATGCTGTCTCAGGCGCCGCTCCAGGTTTCCCATAAGTGTTCAACTGGGTTGAGATCTGGTGACTGAGATGACTATGGGATATGGTTTACATCGTTTTCATGCTCATCAAACCATTTAGTGACCACTCGTGCCCTGTGAATGGGGGCATTGTCATCCTATGAGGGCATAGCCATGGTAGTCAAAATAATGGCCTGCCCAGCATTTATTTTCATGACCCTAAGCATGATGGGATGTTAATTGCTTAATTAACTCAGGAACCACACCTGTGTGGAAGCAGCTGCTTTCAATATACTTTGTATCCCTCATTTACCGGTACTCAAGTGTTTTCATTATTTTGGCAGTTACCTGTAGCTAGCATATTGTAACGGGCTAATGTGATGCTCCATTAGGCGTTACAGGATAGGTACTGTTTGGTGTAGCATAGAGAATTTTCGAAACTATCTTTGTTCTCGGCCAAACATATATATTTTAAAATGTCAGTGTCCAGTTGTAGGTGGTTCGTTAGAATTTTGAAAATGTTTTGCTCCATGAAGTAATTCAACAATGTGTATGCCGCCATCTTGTCTATTTCAAATCTTCTCTCATTGATTGAGACAGGTGAGTCTACCCTAAAGTGCAGCATGTCATGATGACACTCAGCTGTCTCAATCAATGAGAGAATATTTGAAATAGACAAGATGTCGGCGTACAGATTGTTGGATTACTTCATGAAGCAAAACATGTATTTATTTTAATATCACAGTATTTTCTCAATTCAAATGAACCACCTCCAACTTAAGAAGATACATGTTTGGCCGAACGAAGATAGTATCGGCAAGTTAAGGTTGGTTGAAAATTCTCTGTGCTACGCCAAACAGTACCTATCCTGTCACGGCTAATGGAGTATCACATTAGCCCGCTAGCTAACTCACACCTATAACGTTAACGCTAGCTGACACACACTGACACACAGTTCATACTGCTGCCATGCCGAAGTTGTGTCACGCAGGCCTCAAGGCCTGCCCAGAGATGTGTACCAGTCCACACCGTTAGTACATTGTCAGAGCACACTGTACACACGCATGCATGTGTACACACACACACACACACACACACACACACACATACACATAGTTGAAAATATAGAGAGTGAACAAATGTGAACGATGGCCCAGCGTGAAGACTCAATCACAATTTATGGCAATCTTTGAATGACAGACCATCTGTGGGCTATCATAGGGGTCAAACACCTTATCTGTGGCAATCTCAATGAAGAGACATTCCTACAGAAGTCCTAGGGTCACTGAAGCCAGGAGAGGTGAAGTGAACTTGAATCGACAAAATTAATGTTACTGTGTGAATTAAATTGTCATGTTTGGATTGTTTCAAGAGTTAATAAAGAGCTATGAATTTTGATATGTTTTATTTGTACTGTAAGTGCTATGGATTTATTGTTACAGAGAAACTGTGTTACTCTGTACGCTTGACGGTGGATAGTTCAGAGAGGAGAGACACAGATGTGTGCACTTATCATACATTGTTGAGGTGTGGTGATTAGATTAGTGAATGTGTGAAGTGTTATGCCTTTTGTTTTAATGTTTTGGACCATGCAAAGTGATGTTAATTAGACGATAGGAGATACTGGGAGTTGGCACTCTTGGAAGAATAAAATATGGGTTTAAATTTAGATAATGTAGTCATTGGTAAACCGATCTCCTGATGTACGTTTGTATGTCATAGTGATTAATTTTCTATGCTGATAAGACATATATTTAGTATAATTTTTATCGCGAAGATTTCTGGTGTGTATCATTTGTTCATTGTATTGTTATTGTGTAACTACAATAATTCTGCTTACTTTTAAATGGATACGAACCATAGTCCTCACATTTCTGAGTAATATTCCTTGAGTTATTGTTTGGTGAAATATCTAATGGTAAATGTTATTCACAATATACATAGCATATATGCTTGGTCTCTAACTATGCATTTCTGAGCCAAGGTTAACGCAATCATTAAATGGTAGGACATTGATTGCAAGATATTAGCTCCTTGTCCCTTAGCCTCTTAATAATTGCATAACGGTAAACCTAGACACGTGCATCTTATATTATTCAGAGTGGTGAAGCAAGGCTTGCAACCTTGGCTATACCCACTGGATACGATTATGGGCCTATAGAATTCACATGAAAATAGAGTCAGATTGATGAATGTAGTTTATTATTATATTCAACATAATGTTTGGATAATTTCCACCACCCTACACACACACACACACACACACACACACACACACACACACACACACATTTAAGCCTTCTCTCATCTTCTTTCCAGATGCTCTCATTAGAGAGGATATATTGTAAATTGGTATTACTGTCGACATGTGTAATCTGTTCATGCCTGTTCTCTCTTGGCGAGGGAGGGGGTGGTTGATCACTGGTTTCTTTGCCTCCTCAGCGGAACGCAACGCTGTTTAGCCGGGGCTGTGTTGTGTTGTTGTGACTGAAGAAGCGTGACTGGCCATCTGCTAGCTGTGATTCAAACGCCACGCTATAGTCAAAGATGGACACAGGCTGTGCTTTGAGAGGAATCTCTTTCCGATGGTGGATGGGTGTGTGTGTTTGTGTCACGCCCTGGCTCTGGGGACTCTTGTATGTTGAGCAAGGGTGTTAGTTTCTTTGTGTAGTGTCTGTTTCGTTTCCTATGTTCTGTTCTAGGTTATGTGTTTCTATGTTGGCCGGGGTGGTTCTCAATCAGAGGCAACGAGAATCAGCTGTTGCTTGTTGTCTCTGCTTGGGAACCATACTTAGGCAGCCTGTTGTGCACTTGTCTTTTGTGGGATCTTGTTCCGTGTAGGTTTGTGTTATTGACCGAGGACTTCACATATCGTTTTGTATTTGTGTAAGTACCTATTAAAGTATGTACTCATATCACGCTGCGCCTTGGTCCACTTATTATGACGATCGTGACAGAAGATCCCACCAATACAGGACCAAGCAGCGTGTCCAGGAGCAAACGGCGGAGGTAACGTTAGTGGATGTCCTCCTCGGTTGGGGGCAGATCACGGAGAAGGAGGCCGTCCGTTACCGGAGGGCGATGAAGGGGGAGACCCAGGCAGGAGAGGAGAAGCAGCGCCAACCGGGCCGTCGTCGGACAGGCGAGAGGCACCCCCAATACATTTTTTGGGAGGGGCACACGGCATGGACGACGGGGCTGCTGGAGGCAGATAAAGTGCGAGATTGTGGACGAGGAGAGAAGGCCACCAGGTTACGGGGGCCATTGGTCAGTAGAGGGAAGGAGAGTGTAGAGGCACGGCGAGAGGTACTGAGGTGTGTTACCAGTCCGGTCCGGCCCGTTCCTGATCCCCACACAAGACCAGTGGTGTGTGTTCCCAGTACGGTCCGGCCTGTTCCTGTCCCTCGCACCAAGCCTGTGATGCGCGTCGCCAGCCCGGCCCGGCCTGTTCCTGCCCCTCGCACCAAGGCTGTGGTGCGCGTCGCTAGCCCGGCCAGGCCTGTTCCTGCCCCTCGCACCAAGCCTGTGGTGCGCGTCGCCAGCCCGGCCCGGCCTGTTCCTGCTCCCCGCACCAAGCCAATGGTGCGCTTCGTCAGCCCGGTCCGGCCCATTCCTGCTCCCCGCACCAAGCCAATGGTGCGCGTCGTCAGCCCGGTCCGGCCTGTTCCGGCTCCCCGCACCAAGCCAGTGGTGCGCTTCGTCAGCCCGGTCCGGCCCGTCCCTGCTCCCCGCACCAAGCTAATGGTGCGCGTCGTCAGCTGCTTCACCGGTGCCTGGTCAGGTGCCGGTCAGCTGCTCCACACCGGAGCCTAAGCAATCCGCTCCACCGATGTCCAGTCCAGCTCCAGCCAGCGGCGCTACAGGGGGGTTGTTAGAGGGTGGTGGTCACGCCCGGAGCCGGATCCGCCTCCGAGGTGGAATGCACACCCGGCCCCTCCCCTGTTGGGTTTATGTTGGCGCGGTCGCAGTTCGCGCCTTTGGGGGGGGGGGGGGGGGGGGGGGGGTACTGTCACGCCCTGGCTCTGGGGACTCTTGTATGTTGAGCCAGGGTGTTAGTTTCTTTGTGTAGTGTCTATGTTTCGTTTCCTATGTTCTGTTCTAGGTTATGTGTTTCTATGTTGGCCGGGGTGGTTCTCAATCAGAGGCAACGATAATCAGCTGTTGCTTGTTGTCTCTGATTGGGAACCATACTTAGGCAGCCTGTTGTGCACTTGTCTTTTGTGGGATCTTGTTCCGTGTAGGTTTGTGTTATTGACCGAGGACTTCACGTATCGGTTTGTTGTTTTGTATTTGTGTAAGTACCTATTAAAGTATGTACTCACATCACGCTGCGCCTTGGTCCACTTATTATGACGATCGTGACAGTTTGTGTGTGCGCGTGCGTGTTTGCTTGCGCATGTTTGTGTTTATTTCTGATGAAGCCTCCACTCAGTGATACGATACAATAAGGGTTTTGTCAAGTATAATTTCTGACAAAGTACAGTAGCCAGTGTATGGTTTACATCAGTGTATGGTTTACATCAGTGTCTGGTCGGTGTACAGTTGTTAGTGTTTAGTTTCTGCCAGTGTATAGTTTTAGAAAAAGGGCAACACTAGCAGAATGGCTATTTCACTTGTAGAATGGTTACAGTATATTGATGCCTCTACTCTCTCGCTCTCTCTTCTCCCTCCCTGCCTCGCTCCCCCCTCTCTCCCCTCTCCAGATGTACATCCAGACCACCACCCTGACCATCTCCCTCAGTCTCAGCGCCTCTGTCTCTCTGGGGATGCTGTACATGCCCAAGGTCTACGTCATCATCTTCCACCCGGAGCAGAACATCCCCAAGCGTAAACGCAGCTTCAAGGCCATCGTCACCGCCGCCACCATGTCAGGCAAGCTGCAGAAGGGAGGCGACCGGCCCAACGGAGAGGTCAAGACGGAGCTGTGTGAGAGCATGGAGACCAACAGTGAGTAAGAACACACCTTTACTAACCTATACATAATACACTTCTATATCTAATGATATACTGTATACACCTATACTAACAGTATGCATAAATACATCTACACCAGGGTTCCCCAACTGACGGCCCGTGGGTGGTTTTATTTGGACCCTCAAGTTTTCAAAAATAATAAAAATAATAATGTTCATTGAATTTTCATTGTTGGACATAAAAGAGGAGATCATCTCCAAGTGATTTTAATTAAAGAAATCTGTTCCCAAGTATTCCCACGCATAGTAGAGAGACACATGATCATATACAAATGTAAGCAAGGTTTGAAATGATTCTGTTTTAGTCAAACATATCTGTTTAGGCTTCTTGCGGTCAATTTGCAGTCTACAAATTATTTGTAATTATGTACCGGCCCCCCAACCATCCGCTCAAGAAAAAATCGGCCCGCGGCTGAATCTACAGTAATTGATGATCCCTGATCTACACTAATATAACCTATAATCTATACACCTAAAAACACTAATCTATAGATCTACACTAACACACAACAGTGATAATCTATACAACTACACTGATATAACCAACCTTTTGATCATCTCTACAACTACAGTAGAACAGTCATTACATGTACGTTGGGTCCTTTTTCATATGACTCTCATTCAAATATCAGTACTTTTAATAGCAAGAAATGTAATGTGTGAACTGTAAACAATGTTCTTGATAGAGCAGCTTGAGTGCTGCAACTTGTTTCTTTAGCACAATTCTTTACTTCACATACAGAGTGTTAACATGAGCTTCCCATTCAACGCAACTATGTGGAGCAGCTTTCGTAAACTTCAAAGCTTTGTTGTGTGAGGAGCCAGTCGTGCCTCATCAACACTACGACCTGGAAATGTTCTTCTTTCATAATGTTCAGTGGGTGTTTAAAACACTTATTTTATTTACATTTACATTTACATTTACGTCATTTAGCAGACGCTCTTATCCAGAGCGACTCACAAATAGGTGCATTCACCTTATAGCCAGTGGGATAACCACTTTACAATGTTTTTTTTTTTGTGTTATTTTTTTGGATGGGGTGGGTTGGGGTAAGGGGGGATAGGAGGATTACTTTATCCTATCCCAGGTATTCCTTAAAGAGGTGGGGTTTCAAATGTCTCCGGAAGGTGGTGAGTGACTCCGCTGTCCTGGCGTCGTGAGGGAGCTTGTTCCACCATTGGGGTGCCAGAGCAGCGAACAGTTTTGACTGGGCTGAGCGGGAACTATGCTTCCGCAGAGGTAGGGGAGCCAGCAGGCCAGAGGTGGATGAACGCAATGCCCTCGTTTGGGTGTAGGGACTGATCAGAGCCTGAAGGTACGGAGGTGCCATTCCCCTCACAGCTCCGTAGCCAAGCACCATGGTCTTGTAGCAGATGCGAGCTTCAACTGGAAGCCAGTGGAGTGTGCGGAGGAGCGGGGTGACGTGAGAGAACTTGGGAAGGTTGAACACCAGACGGGCTGTGGCATTCTGGATGAGTTGTAGGGGTTTAATGGCACAGGCAGGGATCCCAGCCAACAGCGAGTTGCAGTAATCCAGACGGGAGATGACAAGTGCCTGGATTAGGACCTGTGCCGCTTCCTGTGTAAGGCAGGGTCGTACTCTCCGAATGTTGTAGAGCATGAACCTACAGGATCGGGTCACCGCCTTGATGTTAGCGGAGAACGACAGGGTGTTGTCCAGGGTCACGCCAAGGCTCTTCACACTCTGGGAGGAGGACACAATGGAGTTGTCAACCGTGATGGCGAGATCATGGAACAGGCAGTCCTTCACCGGGAGGAAGAGCAGCTCCGTCTTGCCAAGGTTCAGCTTGAGGTGGTGATCCGTCATCCATACTGATATGTCTGCCAGACATGCAGAGATGCGATTCGCCACCTGGTTATCAGAAGGGGGAAAGGAGAAGATTAGTTGTGTGTCGTCAGCGTAGCAATGATAGGAGAGGCCATGTGAGGATATGACAGAGCCAAGTGACTTGGTGTATAGCGAGAATAGGAGAGGGCCTAGAACTGAGCCCTGGGGGACACCAGTGGTGAGAGCATGTGGTGCGGAGACAGCTTCTCGCCATGCCACTTGGTAGGAGCGACCGGTCAGGTAGGACGCAATCCAAGAGTGAGCCGCGCCGGAGATGCCCAGCTCGGAGAGGGTGGAGAGGAGGATCTGATGGTTCACAGTATCAAAGGCAGCAGACAGGTCTAGAAGGACAAGAGCAGAGGAGAGAGAGTTAGCTTTAGCAGTGCGGAGAGCCTCTGTGACACAGAGAAGAGCAGTCTCAGTTGAATGACCAGTCTTGAAACCTGACTGGTTTGGATCAAAAAGGTCATTCTGAGAGAGATAGCAAGAGAGTTGGCTAAAGACGGCACGCTCAATAGTTTTGGAGAGAAAAGAAAGAAGGGATACTGGTCTGTAGTTGTTGACATCAGAGGGATCGAGTGTTGGTTTTTTGAGAAGGGGTGCAACTCTCGCTCTCTTGAAGACGGAAGGGACATAGCCAGCGGTCAAGGATGAGTTGATGAGCGAGGTGAGGTAAGGGAGAAGGTCACCGGAGATGGTCTGGAGAAGAGAGGAGGGGATAGGGTCAAGCGGGCAGGTTGTTGGGCGGCCTGCCATCACAAGTCGCAAGATTTTATCTGGAGAGAGAGGGGAGAAAGAAGTCAAAGCATAGGGTAGGGCAGTGTGAGCAGGACCAGCAGTGTCATTTGACTTAACAAACGAGGATCGGATGTCGTCAACCTTCTTTTCAAAATGGTTGACAAAGTCATCCACAGAGAGGGGGGGGGGGGGGGGGGGGGGGGGGGGGAGGATTCAGCAGGGAGGAGAATGTGGCAAAGAGCTTCCTAGGGTTAGAGGCAGATGCTTGGAATTTAGAGTGGTAGAAAGTGGCCTTAGCAGCAGAAACAGATGAAGAAAATGTAGAGAGGAGGGAGTGAAAAGATGCCAGGTCCGCAGGGAGTCTAGTTTTCTTCCATTTCCGCTCAGCTGCCCGGAGCTCTGTTCTGTGAGCTCGCAATGAGTCATCAAGCCACGGAGCTGGAGGGGAGGACCGAGCCGGCCGGGAGGATAGGGGACATAGAGAGTCAAAGGATGCAAAAAGGGAGGAGAGGAGGGTTGAGGATGCAGAATCAGGAGATTGGAGGGAGAAGGATTGAGCAGAGGGAAGAAATGATAGGATGGAAGAGGAGAGAGTAGCGGGAGAGAGAGAGCGAAGGTTGCGACGGCGCATTACCATCTGTGTAGGGGCAGAGTGAGTAGTGTTGGAGGAGAGGGAGAGAGAAAAGGATACAAAGTAGTGGTCGGAGACTTGGAGGGGAGTTGCAGTGAGATTAGTAGAACAACAGCATCTAGTAAAGATGAGGTCAAGCGTATTGCCTGCCTTGTGAGTAGGGGGGGACGGTGAGAGGGTGAGGTCAAAAGAGGAGAGGAGTGGAAAGAAGGAGGCAGAGAGAAATGAGTCAAATGTAGACGTAGGGAGGTTGAAATCCCCCAGAACTGTGAGGGGTGAGCCATCCTCAGGAAAGGAACTTATCAAGGCGTCAAGCTCATTGATGAACTCTCCAAGGGAACCTGGAGGGCGATAGATGACAAGGATATTAAGCTTAAATGGGCTAGTGACTGTGACAGCATGGAATTCAAATGAGGAGATAGACAGATGGGTCAGGGGAAAAATTGAGAATGTCCACTTGGGAGAGATGTGGATTCCTGTGCCACCACCCCGCTGACCAGATGCTCTCAGGGTATGCGAGAACACATGGTCAGACGAGGAGAGAGCAGCAGGAGTAGCAGTGTTTTCAGTGGTAATCCATGTTTCCGTCAGCGCCAAGAAGTCGAGGGACTGGAGGGTAGCATAGGCTGAGATTTACATTTACATTTTTACATTTTAGTCATTTAGCAGACGCTCCTATCCAGAGCAATTAAGGTTAAGTGCCTTGCTCAAGGGCACATCGACAGATTGTTCACCTAGTCTGCTCAGGGATTAGAACCAGCGACCTTTCGGTTACTGGCACAACGCTCTTAACCACTAAGCTACCTGCCGCCCCCAGATGAACTCTGCCTTGTTGGCAGCAGAACGGAAGTTCCAGAGGCTGCCTGAGTGTTGATCTGGGTGTTCTGAGAGGTTGAGAAGGTTCTGGAATGTTTGTAGTAATTAGGCTTCATTTACTGTGTTCTGTGTTCTGAGCTGCAGCAGGTTGAACTATTTCTTCATTACAGACCTGAACGCCCAGAAGTCTCGCAGTCAGCAGTTTGGTCGGCTAGAATAACACACAATAACACACACGCATGTGATCACACACGTATGCACACACACACATAACACAACACAACACAACACACAGCACGGGTCACTGCTCATCTATTCCCTCATTGGCACAAACTGCTGACCGGACTCATACAGAGTTAAGTTTCACAAACCACAGTCTGTCAGAGATATTATTTTCAAATACTAACTGCCTAGGGTTTGTTGTGTGAAGAAGAAACTGTTGGAACAGTTTTGATTCCTACAGTGTGACATAGTGTCTCTTTTAAAATCCTCCTTAACAAGGCGGGCACAGGGGACCTTCTTGATGATAGCTCAGCGCCATAATGGACTTGACAAACACAGCCTCAGACCCCAGACGCAGGTGTGCACTAATATTACAGTCAATAGGAAATGTATATCCCCTGATATATTTATTCTCCTCTCTTCCCCTCTTTTCCCCTCTGGCAGCTTCATTAACTAAGACAACATATGTTAGCTACAGTAATCATGCCATCTGAACAGCACCAGAGTGCCGGGAGGGTCCCCAGGGGCGAGAACAGCTGAGGAGAAGAGCTGTCACTCAGACAGACAGATGACGGACTGACGGACGAATAGATGGACAGACAGACGGGGCTCCCACCGCCACCGGTAACCAAGCATGAGACATTTTATATTGTTCTGACAGCATCAAACCTACTACCACCAGAGAGGCGGAACCACAAAGACCAACCACCAATCTGTGGGCTCCG